TTGATGGAGAAGTCTGTTTGTCTTTCAGATAACTTTCCGCCCTCGTCATTTAAGGAGACGTCTGGCTCAACTGCAGCTCAGCAGGCATTTACACAGTCATCTTGAACTTCATGATATAACAAACTTTATCGGTCACCAGCTGAGGGGATAGTGCCATCTCCATGGTTACTGAATGATACACAAGAATAACATAACTCGTTATCATGAGAAAACAGTCTATGTCGTTATTTTATTGTGATGACATATGTCGTTATCACAAGAAAACCATCGAAAAATAATTAAGTGAAAATGGCTGCTCTTGGCTTCCGTATAGATATCAATGATGCTGACGTAAAAAAATAAAAGGTCCATTTACTCTTAGTTGATTTGTATTTTTGTCCTACTTTTGAAATGTACTAATTTGGTTATTTCTGTAGAAAAGTTATGAATCATATCTTACCTATTGTAGATAGCTCTTTAACTGACTTGAATTTGGAGGAGTAGAGTTTAATGACCAGACTGATGTACTAACACACGCCATCTTTAAACTTTGTCATAAATTTCATTGTGGTTTGTGAAAGAAAAATCTGGTCAAAAATGAACTCTATTTCACCAAACTAGAGCAAAGATCTATCTTCACCAGGTAGAATGCTGTTTTTCCTTTTTTTTTTTTTTTGCTATTACGAGTTAAAAYTTTACACAGAACCCTYCTTCAGAAGATCCGATCTTTATCGATTTTCTGAGAAATGCTGAYGAATTTATTTTAATAGGGGATTTCTATAAACAGAATATCACACAAATGAAAGTGTGCCGTCACAGTGGAAAAAGAAAGTACTTTGTTATCAGTCTTTTTTAAACAAACTTTCCCTRAGACAAACAGGATACATTCCTTAGTCCAGCTTGCTCACGTCTTCCTGTATGGACTTTACGCCTGACAAACGGATGCAAATGAACAAGAAGCCAAGGCAACACAAAAAAGGGGAGAAAATAATTTATTTTAGGACTTTGGTAAATGGGTTATAAAATAAGGTTCACATTTCACATAAATGAAAACAATCAGATTCACTTTCAAAAACACGTAAGGAGGTTAGGCAACTCCTATTCATAAATACTTTACCAAATTTATCAAACAAATTTCACTCAGAGAAAATACAAATGTTGCTTTCTGAATCAAATGAAACCAGAACAGAAAGTGGTGGCATTAGCTTGTGGTTTTCCAGATTTTAACTCATAAATAACAGCAGACAGATTATGTTTAATARACTCATTTCTTGTCATCGGACCAAGTGATTTCATAGTCGCTGAAGACGATCTTCAGCTTCTCCACAGACACAGAGTGATCCGCTTTGCCAAAAGCCTGAAAATGGATAGGAAAACATATTAGCACGACATATTTGAACAAAGTATTTTAGTCTGTATATTTGAATAAACCTACAGTTGACTCCCCAAACACCCTGATTTTCTTCTCCTTGCTGTTGTGCTCAATCTTCCCTCCTCCGAGGCATTTACACTCCATCCCCAAGGCCTCCAGAGCCGGGTTGACTTTGTCAAATATGTGATCTGGAAATAAAGGAAACATTCAAAAAAGGTTAACATCCATTAAGCCAGAACATGGAAACTGTTAATATAATGCAAACCTCTCTGGCAACATTATCTGAAAGCAGTGGCATGATGAGAAATTAGAATGTCCATTCCTTAAAGGAGGGTATTTGCTTGAATGCAAGAGTTTTAAATGAAAATCTTTTTAGCCTTTTGAGTGTGTGGTGGGGATGAGTTTCTGCCACTAAGACACCAAACTTTAGCTCAAGATCTGTAAAAATGTCTGAGTTGAAGTTATATCTATGTTTGCTCAAGTCAGCTAACTGTGGCGGCCATCTTGAATCAGGTTGACTCCAAAGGTTCATCAGTTGTAGATGAAGGACCACAAAGTAATTTAGAGAATTCCATTAAAATTTGACCAGTTATTCCTGAGATGCTCTCACCGGCCACTTTATTAGATACGCTTGTCCAGTTGCTTGTTAATCAGCCAATCGCAAMGTAGGAACTTAATGCCTTTAGGTATGTAGGCATGTTGAAGATGACTTGATGAAGTTCACCAAAATATAGAAAAGAGAATTGAAGCAACTTTGAATGTAGCATAGTTGGTGCCAGATGGAAACTGTGTGCTAAGGATGAGTCTCAGCTGCTACCACACTGGKTTTTAGCTCAATATCTGTAAAACTGACTACATTTCATTTTTTGTTATTGTTATGTGATAAATTAGTTTTATTGGTATTTTACATTGTGATACWGAAATTTTCTCAACCTGTAATGTTCCCCAGAATCAGAATGACAGCTGAAACATGTATCTATGAATATTGTTTAGACCAGGGGTCTGCAACCTGCAGTTCTAGGGCCAAATGGATGTCCCTGCTCTCTCTGCAGCAGCCCTTTGAAGCTTTAACCAAAATTAACGTGAGGTTATGTTTATTTGGTTTTATACTCACAAGAGAAAAGGCTAGCTTTAGCAGTTTTCCTGTCAAATTGTTAGCAAATAAGTGATCAATATTACAAAGAGTGAAACGTGTGTTGATTAGATCATGCTTAGCAGCCTGTTGGCCACTTCAATAATCCAACTTTATAACTTAAAATATGATATTTCTCTTAAATCCATCAGGGTTACCTTTAAAGGCCTATAAGACTAGATTATAAGAATTAGAAAAAAATATGCCTGTGTAGGTCAGTTGTAATTTTTTTGATAAATTTGGTATAAACTAACATTAGCACATAAAGAAAGGAAATGTATGTTTGGTAGACTGTTTCTTTGTTGTAACAATGATTCTTGGCAATAAATCTTATAGTGGGCACCTTACTGGCAGCACCCGGAGGTACCAGATGCTCAACACAAGTGTAGCAACAGCAACATAAGCTGTTTGGCAGTGGCAGTTCATGTACAAACCACATACTCAGCTCTACTGCTCATCCCACAAATGCATGTTCCTTACAAATGTGGCACCATTTAAAATGGAAATTAACAGGCTTTTAATTATATAATTTATTACCAAAAAGCTTCGTTATGAAGAAGAAATAGTTTACTAAACACAAATTTACTTAGTTTTGTGCTAAATTTATAAACAGTATTTTTCTTGTTTACATGAATAAAATCATTTCGCTTGTTCTAAAGTGTAAAAATAATAAATATTAACATTTGTATTATTTATTTATGGGGTTTTTTGTCTTATTATTTCACCACCAGCAGCCAGAAAGATACCCCTTCAACAAGGGGGTCACCAGTTGATACGTTTTGCAGCTCTGGTCACATTTTAGAATAGAATAGAATAGAATAGAATAGAATAGAATAGAATAGAATAGAATAGAATAGAATTTATTGTCCCGCAGAGGGGAAATTCAGATGTCACAGCAGCATCAGTCTAGAGGTTCGCATACTAGTTACTTTTCCAACTATATAGTACACACAAAACACCAACTAGCATGATACAACTACTAATAATAAAAATATAAAGAATTGTGCAAGAATAGAAAACGATGTTTTGTTTCGGAACCGACATTAGGAATCAGAAATTGCCTGTTTTCAGTGCAAAATGAGCCAAGGAGCAGAAACGTTTCTTTTAAAAAAGGTGCAAACCCCTGGTTCAGACTATTTCAAGAACCGGAAGCATGAATATGTCTAGATAAAATACCAATAATACCCAGACTTTGAGCATGCTTGTAAAAAGGTCAGTTGTTAACAGTAAAAAGGTCACCGTGCACAGAACAATCTGCTTTGATCTGCAACCTTCAACAGGCGCAACTTCTCGCTCCTCGTGCAGAAAACTTACTGTGGTACTCTGCACTTTTGGTGCCTCGCACTATGTCTTTCTGCGCATCGCCATCTTTCACTTTCACTCTGACTAAAATGTACTTAAAAGTTCCTTCGGGATCAATCTCTACGTCGGGGATATTAGCCAGAGATCCTGCCATATCGCCTTGTGAATCTCTCCGGGGTCCGCCGCCAAAAACAACCCGATTCGCTTGCTGTGGACCATATATGGACTTTCTATTTCCGGTCTTAAAGGGACAGGACACTTGTTTCCGTGCAAGCTTGTGCACGCTGGTGACCTCGCATGGCAACAGATTTTTTTTTCCCCAACAAATTTTCCAGACATTTATTTAATTTAGGGTGAAAACCACTCCACCGGTCTGTGTTTGCTGCATGTGTTAACACGATCTTCTTCCTCCTGTGTTTGATTTGTTCATTTCCTGCTGCCACACATTTGACCCTTGATTTCCTCAACATGATCCCAGATCTTGATGGGAAGTATTTGGTTCATGAACTATGATGTTTTTAGCTGGGGAATATTTATGCAATTAACTTATGTTATTAAGTAATATAATGACATTAAAAAATAAAGTTTACCTTATAGAAATCTTTATAAAAAAAACAACACACTGCACAATCAAAATTTAAAAAAGGTCTTTAAACTATTAGTACAATAAAATGTGTCATTTAGTTAAACCTGTAACAGACCTTTTTGCTGAGCTGGATCTTGATTTCCCCTTTTGTTCTGTGTGAGTTCATTAAAGAGTTTATATTGTTTTGTTTTGTTTTTTCTCTGGGGAAGAGGTGGAGGTTATGAGGTGCTAAGGAGCAATGGCTCGTGTTCAGGGCCCTGAGCCAGAGAGGAAGGATGTGAACTATCACTGAGACAAAGGCAGCCAGCAGGCGCCTGCTTTTCTGTAACACCTTTCCCATCCCAAGGCACTTCTCCAGAAGCCTTGTGCATTCCACCTGGTTCTCTGTCTACTGCATGTTCATACGCTGTGAAGGCATGCAGCAGTCCATGTGTTGGCTTTTGGTACACTGTGTACTTGTGCTAATGTGCATTGGATATGAATCATCAGGAAGTTTATACAAAAAAAATAGAGCTACGTTTAAAAAAGATCTAAATATTTGTCCCATATTGCGGACTTTAATGCCAGCTAAAATAGTTTCATGCTGAAATTTTGTAATCATTTTGAGGATAAGGTCAATTAGCTGTAGCGGCCTTCTTGAACTAGAGTGATAGGCGTCCATGTAATGATTATTTTCTGAACATTTCACTTTATTCCATCCATGAGTTCATAAGATATCTTGTGAACAATGACTGTGCTGATTTTAACAGTTCGTAAAGTTTTAAACAAGAATGTTGCACAATGTGCCGCTGAAATTTGTCTGTTTAAAACCAGATATTTACAATGAAAAGAGCTGAAAAGCATCACATCGTGGTACAAACCAGAATTTCATTTTGACCAAAGCTTTTCTGAAGCAATAATAAATAATAGAGGTTGTTTGTGTTTTTGTCTTTTTTTATTTTTGTTACAATTGATGTCTGTGGTTTAGTCTGGTTACACAATACTGTATCTTTTACTTATACTTATACTACTTATACTTTTTTATATTAAGTGAGAATATAGGATGTTTAAAAAAATCCAAAATTTTACAAATTAATCTGTTTAGATAAAATATTACATAACTCCTTGTTTGCAAGTATGGTGGCCAAAATGATGATAATAAAAAAATTAGGTCTTAGAAAAATGACATTTGTATGTTACCACAAACACCATTTCTCTCTAAAATGTAATACTTCCACTTTTTAAAATAAATAATGAAACTAAAAGTAAAATAAAAATAGCATTAATGTTGCTCAAAATCAAGACCAAATAAATAAAAAATAAAAACCAAATTGATAGGATAACTTTCTTCACCGCAGAGGGCAGGGCTGTGACAGACGTGGGAGGAGGGAAATTCCACCGAAAAGTCAGATTGTGACGACAGCTTCCAGGAAACTTGGACCGGGCCGAGGGGAGTTATAAAAGCAGGACCCTCGGCTCATGAAACTCAGAATCCTTCAGAAGAACCACAAGTCTTCTTGCTGCTCTTCATCTATATAAGAAATCGGTGAGTGTAGACAGATTATTTTATATTTTCTTCTGCTCAGATTTAATTCATGTTTGGTATTAAAAAAAACTTTTGCATTTTCCGTTGACTTTTTGCAGATATTGTGCGTTGGATTATCGCAGAACAGCAAATTTAAGATGTCTTCTTCATGCTTCTTTCTGTGCACAGGTTTGTAAACCTAACACAAACAGAATGCCTCACATTTAACTTTTAGAAAACCGGTTTCAAATGTATGATTACTAACTTTTTCAATCTGTTTTGCACGATCAGTGCTGTGCATGTGGAGCGGTGTGACGTGCTGGTCTTACTTCTACTCAAACACCACCATGGACTGGGAGACGGCTCGGGCCTGGTGCAAGGAACACTACACAGACATGGTGGCCATCCAGAACCAGGAGGAGATTGGGCACCTGAACAGCTGGCTGCCCAGGAAAGACAAATACTACTGGATCGGGATCCGCAAGGTCAAGAACGTCTGGACCTGGGTCGGGACGAACAAGTCTCTGACAGCAGAAGCCACCAACTGGGCAAAAGGCGAACCCAACAATGGGAAGAATAAACGCTACGTGGGCAAATCRGAGGACTGCGTTGAGATGTACATAAAACGGAAAGAACAGGCAGGAAAGTGGAACGACGAGTGGTGCAAGAATGCAAAGACGGCTTTGTGCTACTCAGGTGAGGACCTTTTTTTAGTTTCGGCAACTTGTTTGTAAAAAAAATGTACAATTTTAATGATTTGCCAAACTTCTGTAACAATAACACTGTTTCGTTTTCCTCCAGCTGCCTGTAAGAATGACTCGTGCCTTCATGGAGAATGTGTGGAAACCATCAATAGCCACAGGTGTGAGTGCCTGCCGGGGTTTTATGGAGATAAGTGCCAYCATGGTAATAAAATACAACATTTTCCTTATTTCAATTCACATTATTTATAGTTTGCGGGACTTGAAGTTGATTTTGACTGAATTTATTTTGCAGTTGTTAAATGTATCGAAGAGGAGGTGATCGCCCCACAGAACGGAAGAGTGGATTGTACTCATAAGTTCGGAGAGTTTGCCTACAACTCCTCGTGTCTGCATTTCTGCGAGGAAGGATACCAGCTGAGCACAGCAGGGCCTCAGAGATGCAACGAGGAAGGACGATGGACTGAAGCGTCTCCTGCATGTGAATGTGAGTTAAAGCTGCTGTAACCCTCGAGACACAGATGCTTTTATAAACTCTCATCTAATCCTCYTTTTGTCCTACGATCTACAGTGGTTCAATGTAAGCAGCTGGTTTCACCTTCAAGTGGCTCCATGAAGTGCTCGGACCCCCTGGGACCCTCCAGCTATCAGTCCACCTGCACGTTCACCTGTGACGACGGATACGAACTGGGCGAACCCTCGTCGGACATCTTGCTTTGCGAATCTTCGGGAAACTGGAATGCCTCACAGCCGTCGTGCGTCGGTACGTCCACACCTGCTCGAGCTTATTTTACAATCTCAATGCATCGTTTCTCATCGTTCCAAGATCTCTGACTTTATGAAATACTTCGTTTTAAGATGTTTCTCTCTCTGCTRTGCAGCTGTCCAGTGTCCCGCTCTCCTGGATTTGGAGGARGGCTTCGTTAGGTGCGAGGACGAAACAGAAGCGAGGTTCAGCTACAAGACGAGCTGCGGCTTCAGCTGCGACGCCGGCTACCAGCTGGTGGGGCCGAGCAGGGTCACCTGCACAGCTGCAGCTGAGTGGAGCGAGAACATGCCTCGCTGTACAGGTGAGGAGAGGCTCAAACGTCTAAACGTCTTCGATGAAACAACTCCTTTTACTGGTGCTCTAAATGCATTTGTTGTTCACCTCTCCCCACCAGCTGTCACTTGCCACAAACCTGAAACAGAAGCGCATATGGTTATCCAGTGCAGTGGATCAGAACTGCGACCCAACTCCACCTGCAGCTTCAGCTGTGAGCCAGGCTTTGAGCTGCAGGGAGCGAACAGCGTTACGTGTTCTGAGGATGGAAGGTGGAGCGAGGCCAGACCCWCCTGCAAAGGTAGAACCCTGCTTTTATCGCATCACTTCATTGATTTTGAAAGAATTTTGTACGTGTTCAAAAAAATGGTTTTAGAGATTATTTTTAAAGGGGCAATATTATGTTTTTCTTACGCATACATTTAAATACTATACCATAATAAAGTATCTATGCCACCTTTAGTTGTTATTAAAAT